AAATAAATAAATAAATAAATAAATAAATAAATAAATAAATAAATAAATAAATAAATAAATAAATAAAAAGAAAACCCTGGAGGGGCCCTGGGCATTCGAAGCCAAACAATTTTATTTTCGTAAAGCTTGATTAATAATGATATTTTAACGGGAAGCTTTCTCACCCGTAGGTGATCTACAGAAAGGTCCCGAAGATTTAGATGAGGCTATTCAGTCTGTCCTCTTAAAGCTTACAAGACTATTAAGTCTGCTTGCTTCCCGGCCGATTTTACATGTATATGTCATATATTTTTTCTATTGTCGATATTTCTTATATTTTTTTCCTGCGAATATCTAAAACAGTACTTTGATTATATCTATTTTTTTGCTTCATCTTCTCCCCTCGGATCCCTCTCTTGTTCATTCATCCTTGCTAAGTCTTCCTCCTTTTCTTGTAGTTCTTTCTTCTTTGTCTCGTATATATCAGTGGTAAAAGCATCCGCCGTCAGCTCACTCGCTTTCATTTCTTCCCAAACGCTCTCCAAAAGTTCTGAACTCGTTGCGTTTCGTAGTCGTCGTCCAAACACAATCATGTCCATACGCTCTTTGGAAAGCAACCTACAACCGTCCGTCAAACAGAGTTCGCTTGCCTTGCCGGCGTCAAACGCCGGGAAAAATATCAAACCTGAATACTGCGCTAAAACGTCCAGTGGAACTTGAAAGTCCTGTAACTTATGCTCGAAGCTCACAGGTTCGTTTGGTACTACAAAAGCTCCGAGAACTGATTGCTTGATGTTATCCTCAGCTAAAATAACTTTGTACAAGTGTGTTGGTACTGCGACGTTGTTAGCGCCTATAACCTAAGGATCAAGAAACACAACCTTGAAAACTAAACTCTGCAGCACAACACTTTTAGCTGGGTAACATGCGCTTATCGGGGAATCTTTGTTTACAACATTTGCCTAAACTACAAAAAATACCAGCTATGGTGCGAATAACTGTTAGCTACTGTGCCAAGTTAGTCGTACATACTGTGGTCGTTCACTTTAGTGCTATATTCGTAAGCAGTGACTACCAAAAGTCAGAAAGATATATCTTTTTATTCAATTTATTACATATCTCGGGCGCAGTATGGAGAAACAACATCGAGGTAAGTGTTACGAATTACCGACAACTTACCGACATCTTACCGACATCTTACCGACACGTCACCGACTGTCGGTTTTGTTTTTTGTTTGGTTTTTGGGCAAAACCTATCGGCCTTCTATCGGACAACCGTCGGCCGACAGTCGACCGACAGACGGCCGACAAACGGCCAACAGACGGCGACATAAGGCCGACAGGTTTTTTCGGGAGCTGCTCTTCACAATTACCCTGATTTGTGTGGCTAAAATTTCCACAAAGCATGAATGAAACATTTCTCACCGGGCAATTTCAATTTCAATTCGATTCAATAAAATCATATTTCCTTTAATATTACACCCAAAGAGCTAAAACTTTCATCAAGTTTCACAATGTTTGTACATCTAATGACACATCTTCTAATGACACAAATTGTAACCATTGACCTCAAAAGTATACTAACCTCATATTTGACAATCTTCTTTCCATCCTCTTCTTTTGGTAAGTACAATGGCCCTGACACGATGTAAACATCAGAGTATCTTTTTGCCAAGCTTCTGCAGTAAGCTTCCAGTCTGTACCAAAAGTTGCAATTATTATCCAAGTCTTGTGGTACAATGTTTGACAAGTAGAATGTTTCATTCATTGCATCTTGATCATACTTGTTGTTGCCTGAAAGGATTGACAGTATTCAATTCTTTCGACTCTTCAGTCAATTCTAGCGAAGCGTATCGCTGACCCTCCCTCCCTCCTGCAGGCATAAATGGAGCAGTTGCTACATGTAATGTCTGAATGCCGAGAGCAAATTCCCAAGTCTCTCTTAAACTTGATACACACAGCTAAAAGCAACCTCGTTCCCAGGGTCTCTCTTCTTCCCATCCCCTGTTGCATTTGAGTTTCTGACAAATTTGCAAAGCTCAATAATGTACTGTTTCCAACAAATGAATTTCATCGCTTTAATGACAATGCAGAAGTGCACATTATTTTTTGGACTTTGTGGCATAGGCTGCATCGATCAAGATGCAAGCTTGCAGTTTTTAAGCTCACATGAATTTACTCTCTACGTTATTACAAAAACAAAAACAAAATGAATTAGTTCATGTTCTTATAGCCATGCATCTATTGAGTTATGAAGCTTGAATTGCTCTTTGCAACCCTACTGCACTGCTCTTAAGATCACATGAATTTACTCTCTACGTTATTGTAAAAACAAAAACAAAAGGAATTAGATCATTTTCTTGTAGCCATGCATCTATTAAGTTACCAAGCTTGAATTGCTCTCTGCTACACCTCAACCAACTCTTATGCTTTTGTTGTGCTTACCAAACAACCTCATGAATCCGTAACTCAACAGATGTACAATAAGGACGAAACAATAAGTCATATTCGTATTCTCGGCATCGGACTGGAGCTACCTTGCAGTGGTTGCTCATTACAAAGAGATAAATGTCATTTGCATTTGAAGAGACTCCTAGCATTAACCTCAATTGCAAGCTACTTCCAGTCCAATACCGAGAAAAAGAAAATGGTCGTTTCGTGCGTGATAGCTGAGTCACAAGTGGTCGACACGAGTGCATATCATTATCAATGAATCGTAAGATAAGTCAGTGTTACAAATCATAGATGACATCGACATCGTTCAAGGCTCTCTCTTATTTTACAAGGGAGGCAAAGGAGAGAGAGCCTGGGAACGAGGTTGAGAGAGTGGTACTAACTTGCAGGTGCCATGTGTCCCCTTGACCACCCACTGTCCCAGTAGTCGTCATTATTTGACTGGAAGACCGCAGGGATGTTTAGATCGGGCTTAAACGCAGAGTGTATCCTATTCGCCTCTCCTTTCACTTTGTGTCGGGTCAAATGTTCGAGCACCCACCGAGGAGTTTTCTTCGCTTGGTCGTAACACAAGACGTGATTTTTATAACGCAGGTAATCCGGAGACCTCTGTGGGAGACCATACTTGAGTAGCTTATCCTCCTCAGTATCACTCTTTCCTGGCAAATTGTCCACTTGGTCAAGATCTGTCTCGACTCGAAGAGGGCTTATGGTCCTCAGTTCGCGTCCCTGCTTGAGATTGTCGTGCTTTGCTACTATTTCTTCGATTTCTTTCTTAGCGGAAACATTCTCTTTCTCGGTATCCGAGGTCTCATAGTATATTTTCGTCAACCCAGCGCCGACAATTATTCCAGTTAAAATGCTGCCAAAGCCTTTAAACTGCGACCGAAGTTTAGTCAGCCAAGCGGCCATGTTGGAAACTGAAAGAACACTGGGGCGAGAAGGTGCATATCGCGGGCTCAATTGTTTGTGAGTGCCTGTTTGAAACCGTTTCTCTTGAGATCTCTCTTTGTATACATAGAACTTTTTATGGGTTTTACGAGGAACTCATTCAGTGTCTTCTCTCAAATGCGGTAGAAAGGTCTCAAAAGAGTAATGTTTGATATAGATGAACCAATTTCAGATTACCAGAAAGCGATTCGAGGTAGGCAAACTAACTGATGAATTTAGCGTAACGTTTGGTCAGATAAAATCAGATCATATCGATTCATGTAAGCTTATTAAGCTAAACAGCCTCTAAGGAATGACTCTATCACACTCTTGACGTGTGCTTAATATTCATGTGTTGTGGCAGGATAGCAGGATAATAGAGGTTTGAAATGGATAAGCTATATATCAGTAAGGATTAGTGAACTTCAGGGTGAAGTACAGTCTAGGCAGCAAATAATTGAGCTTACTGCTGTACAGTATGTCTGTAGGCAGTAAATCATGGGCTACTGGAACACACTGGCAGGGCTGCACATGTACTTGTAAGAGTCAGTCAATATTCTCTGTCATTTGGGAGGATGTGTTAAATTCGTTTCTGTAAACATAAGATTTACTAATCGTTGGATGTTGTCCTTCGGTAGCATTTTAAATGAAAGTGGCAAAAGTTCAATTGAGGCCTTGCACTACTGTAAAATGATACTAAAATTGTTTAAAAATCATTTTACAGTAGTGTAGGGCCTCAATTGAACTTTTGCCACTTTCATAAAGTTTTACGTTTTCTGTCTCTTGTATGCAGAGAGAGCTTCCCAAAGCTTGGGTCCACTGAGATATGCACTTAATTCACCTGTCAAGTCTCCTGCTTCCAAGAGGTTTATATTCAAAGGAGATGCCTACAGCTCGGCAGGTAAAAAATATATATATATATTGAAAATGATGTTTAACACTGTCCATTTTACAAATTGATAATACTATAATATGTAATATAATTTTGAGAACTGAAGAAGGGACACTAGTTGTCAAGAAATCATACCTACTTAGGAAGGTATATATGTCAGGTTGTGTCAACCAACAGCTATTCAATTATGGCACCCAACTCTGACCATAACACTGATAAAAGAACATACCATGTTGATGAATTGAAAGTTCACTAAGATCAACCTACTGTAGGGATTCTGAGGCTCAGTGTCCAGTCTACACTGTAATGTGGATTAATAAATGATGGTAGCATTTCTGTCCCTAGACCACACCAATCTGGACAAATTAAAGATTCAGCATTTTATCTTTAGTCTTTGAGCTTTTGGCGTAACAAATATTAATGCATGGTTGAGTCTACACTAAATTTAACTTTGTGATATCAGCTGGCATGTTGAAAAATATCCACTCTGGAGATTACTTTTAACAAGCTCCCTATTGGTAGCTGAATTTACCGTTTTAGAGTGGACAGAATGTCAAACTGGAGAAAAAGTATGTTAAGATGAAAACAATACTGGTATCAGGAACGTACATCAGATTGTTTTCCCTTGTTTTTAACTGACTTTGTTGATGAAATCAGTTGTTTTGCTTTGCTTTCAGTGGCAAGATTGAAGACATTACTCCAGCGATATGATGAGGCTAAAATTTTGGAACCGAGACCTCTAGGCTCTTTTTCGAAGCCAGTGAGTATGAAGTGGTGCATTAGTGACAGTCAACAAAAAAGGCCAATTTTGATAAATGTATGAGGCTTACGGGAATAAAACAAAAGAAATCACATTGACAGGGCTTCTGATAGATTGCGGGAAAAAAGTCAAATTTCATGAGATTCTCAGAGACAAATTTGCCTAAATATGGCTGATTTTGCGGAAAGTTCATGGAATAAAAAAAAACCCCATGCGAGGTCTGGAGTATGGAATTATTTTCCAGAACAGCACATTCAAAAGGCTTGCTTCAGTCTCATTTGTTGCTTTGTAACTTTTAAATGAATTCTATACTGTAGGGTGGAGCACCTAATGGCCAACCCTTATCCCCAGATAGAAGCTACTTGCCCAGTACAGATGAAGTTACTCACCTTTTAGACAACCAGGTTGCTATTTTCCAACATCTTGAGGGTCAAGTCGAGTTTTACAAGGTGAGTCAAAAATCAATATTGAAATGAAATTGTGTATAGTGGTTCTGATGCTTTACAACACTCTTCAACTGCTATGATTGTGCAATGCCAGTTTAGGTAAGGAGAAGTAAGTCTGATTCATTCCTAGTCACTAGAGATAAGATGTCTCCTTGCTGCCAGTGCTTGACTGTTCTTTGTGAAGTGTAAAGAAACAAGGAGCATTCTTCTCCCTCCCCTGCCCTGAATCGGATGCTACATGTACTAAGTTCACTCAGCCTTTAGCTTACCCCATTTGAACTGGATGAATGTCTTTTTCCTGAGAGGTCGCCCATGGTGATGTCAATCACCATTGCCCAACTGGACCACAGTCCCCACAAGCCAAACTGATGGGGTCTCCAGGTGGGGATCAACCCAGAACAGGATCAAGTGGCTTGTGGCTACAAAGGCACAGCCTCCAGACCACGGTACCTAACCCTGAGGCACCAAACTAGAGCTGTAGATCTGAAAAACAAAAATTGTGATGCCTGCCATGCAAGTTAATTGGAGATGTAAACAATAGCATAGTGCAAATGCAGGTAAATTAGGTAGGCATTGCTGGACTGTCGTCACTACATTTGCAATGCGATGATCAAGTGCAGACTGCCAATCCGAATCTATGAGCAGAGTAACAACCAGAAGCCAGTAGAGTGTAGAATGGACTGCATTGTGTATGACAGCTGCTGCCGAGTTAGTGCACAACCATCCTCGTACAACGGGCAAATTTCAATTTGCTAAATGATAAATAGACCCTGGAAATCTAGAGAATCCCAAGCAGCAGGCAGCCCACAGCATGACATGGTCCCTGCATGTAGTGTTCAGATCTAGTTAAAGCTGAATTATAATTGGGGTGGTGCTTTGTGGCCCTCTAGCAAGGGGCCCCAAGCTAGTCATTAAATCAATATAACATAATTATGTTAAAAAACAGTATATTCGATGCACATGACAAAGCATGAGGAATAATTCAACCATTTTCTCTTGTCAGCCATCTTGAATGTGTCCAAGTTACTTTTACATGTAACTTTAGACATCCCATAACCGGTTGATGTGCAAAGTAGAAAATATAGAGGTCAAAAAAGGACCTGCAATTCTGTAATTCTCACTGAAGTGTGTGTCAGGGCTGAGCATAAGTTTAAAGAAGCTGATCTGAGCAAGACTAGCAAACATTGAAAGTTATACCAAAGCCACAGACTGGAAGTAACATACATGTAGGCCACTGCTTTTTTTGGAATGGTTTCACAATTCCGTCAACATTTGTGGTTGCACAACAACTCCCAGAGGTTTCAAATCAGAGTGATTTTGATTTTTCAGCGTTTCATTATTTTTCCCAAAGGAGGGCAACTGGTTTTCACAGGCATGCAACACTTTTTGAACTGAACATCTTTACAAAAAAACATTCCTCAATATGGTCAAACCATAATGTGAAACGAAAGGAAATGAAAATCAAACTGGTTTGAAAAAGTTTAGACCCCCCAAAAAATTTTGCACTAAAATAGATACAGTAGTCTAAATGACTACATGTCAGTGACTTTCTTTGTTTTTCCAGGATGCTTTAGAGTCATTGAAGCAACGAGCAGAACTTGTGATTACAGAAAATGAGACTCTTTTTGATCAGCTCAAGACACAAGCCATTACGCAAGTGCTATCAGCGGAAAAGCAAACTGATTTTGAAGTATGTGTCTTAGTTAACTGGTTTATGCATTGTTCACATACTTATCTTTGATATTTGATTTGAATTATAAGATGAATTTTTATATTATAAATTTTATTTATAAATTTTATTATAAATTTTATTTTTATTTTATTATAAATTTTATAAATTTAATTTTTATATTATAAGATTTATGCTGTCAAGTCATGTGATGTGATAATTTTGTGTGCATGGTTAACACCACTTCACCTCATGCTAGAAAATGCATATTGTACTCTTTTTACAATGGTTAAAAAGAGATATGGGCATTATAGGTGTAATCTGTACAGTGATGAGGTGTGATATTACAATCTCCAGCCTGTAATTCCACGCACAATGCATAGTTATCCCCTCTGTAATACACACAGCTCATCTTGGCCTAGATAGCAAAAATTTTAATCCCAGTTTTCACAATAAGAAGCAACACCATGTCTTTATTAATGTACTTTGTGTACCCTCCCTGGATGGAATGATTTTATTACACCCCCTGCCCCCTACTCCCTGCCCCCGCCCACACCCTCACCATTACTATTTTTAGGTGTTTCTTCTCTCAGAATTAAACTACTAGTGTTGGATGAGGAAATTGATCACAGTGCATGAGAAATGACCAGGACAGGCGATTCAATCTCTAGTCTGACATTATTAATGTATTTAATATTAGGACCAGTCGCCATCAAATACCAGAGAGGACACTCTAGGGGTTCAAGCACGAAGGGTTAGCTGTGACGATAGTGATGATGATGATGATGACGACAGACACATTGAGGACAGTGATGTCAAAGGATCTAAACTGCAGTTACACGGCGAGGCAAGCACAGAGAGACATCCGAGAAACACAGGCAAGGAAATGCAGAGAGCGAAGGAACATGATCCAGATGATGAAGAAAGAAGTGCAAGGGACACAGATAGGAAGGCACAAATGGCAGTTATGGATCATGATCCTAGAAAGGCATTGATGCCAAGAGTGCAGCAGAGGTCTACTATGGAGACTTCATTTGGAATGGACGCCGTTGATTCACAGGTACGGTGCATGACGTAAATGATCCTTCGTAATTATATTTAAGATATTACTGTACATTTACTACTTGATGTGTTTTCAAACGATGCACCCGCATTGGTATTATGGATCGTGGTAATATTTGCTTCTGATGATTAAGAATATCCTAAAACAAGATGTACAGTAAAACATGCTTCAGGCCTACATTTAGTGTAATTTTTATAGTGACTGATTATGGTAGCAGTTGAGTGACATCTAACAGGCAAGACTCCCGGTTATCCTTTTAGAAGTTTCAGTTTTATAATTGCACACTAGAAATATAGAAATATACAGAGGACGCTTTAATCCATCAGATGTGAAGACGTCTCTATAACTAGATAATTTTACGCTATGGTTTGTTGCTTGCGTTCAGTAAAAGTCCAAATTTGGCATGGTTAAACTGAGTCAGTTGGTCCAATGTACGGCCCACGTTTAAAGCATTAAAGGACATGGCCGACATAGTTAGTGTGGCCGAGCACCATTTCTCTCGTAATACAGGCTCGGGTGTTAAAATAACACTGTGATTTCTTTGTATTCTTGACAGCTCTTTATGTCCGCCAATGAAAGGAAATTTGTTAACCAACTTGAAGAAGAAGTGGTAAGTGTCAAAACTACGGAAAACTGCTGTGAAACTCCCTTGTTCGACCACCTTTTGTAGACAACCACTTTATCTGTAAGTTCTCTTTTGAATGAGATTAAATTTTGATAAACATTTCAAAATAAAAATGAGCGATAGGAATTTTACACAACGTTTCGATGTCGTCATGACATCATTATCAAGTGACAAGAAAATAACGTTATTTTCTTGTCACTTGATAATGATGTCATGACGACATCGAAACGTTGTGTAAAATTTCTATCGCTCATTTTTATTTTGAAAAGTTCTCTTTTAGAGAAGTTTAAGGAGCTCAGTCACGGTATTTTAAGTTTATTTGGCCGCGTAAAAAAATAACCTTAAATTGAAGGAAACTTGAAAAAAAAAAAAAGGTAACTAAGATTGAAAAACTGAAAACGCCAAAGAATAATAATAATACATAAAGGAACAAGGATGGCTAAGGATAGAGAAGGTTAGCACGGACTACACTGAACAACGCACTTGGACACATTTAAAACTTAAAGACAAAGCTCCTTTAAGTGCTGCCTCCCCGAGAAACCGGTTTTTCAATCCCTGTAACTGCGGAGCGGCTGGTTAAGGAATCATTGAATTTTTTCAATAAAAAGCGCTACTTGACAGCATTTTATGGGTTTTTACTCGCATGACAAACACAAGCGCAAGTTTAAAACAAGTAGAACGCACACGTGTAAAACAAGATGAACGGAACGAGTGTTTTCTAAGGCACCACATAAAAGATTCCTTTGTGTTTAAACGGTGTTCCTTTTCATCAGCGGAAGGTGAATGTAAGCATAAGTGGAACAGCGGGGAAAAGAAACATTTTGATCCCGATCTGTACTTGTATGTTTGCTTGAAGCATGAATCTACAGTGGAATAAGTAGTCTGACTTGTCAATGTAGTTACGCTTGTGCTTGTGTTGTTTATTGTGAAACCCAGCCGTCAGTAAGATGTTGATAATTTAAGCACCTTTTGTAAGGAAAATGTCCTATTTTTCCCTGAAAATATGCCTTATGCAACATGTTTGCCACATAATTGAATGAAAGAAATCTAAAATCTGATTATGGGAGTATTTTGGTTTCAGCGATCGACTCAGGATGCTTCGTCAGATATAACTACTATGATCGCATACGAAAGACAATCCGTCAGGGTATCGTCTCCATTAGGCCTAGCTAAACTTTGTCAGATACATGTACTAAGTTCGACAGCCTGTGTCGAACAGGAGAACAGTCCGGCAGCGAAAAACACGCAGAATGACTTGACATCCAAAGCCGAGCTGTAAACTACAATGAACCCCTCCACAAACCTCCGGCCACCCCGCACAATATATTTAAATGAAAAATTAAAATACACAAAGAAGCTGGTCACCAAAAATAATAACAGAGCTAAACGAGAAAAAACTGCTGCAGTAAGCATGTTAATGACTTCCACTGAAGCTGTGAAAACGTCAGTGATCAATAAAAAGCTTTCTAATAATGTCGGTAGTATAGTCAATCTGACAATCACAATCGACAGAATTCAAATACACGTGAGCTCAAAGCATCTTGTTGGTGACAAATTTAGTGCATAGACGCCGGCTGTGATGGTGGATTTTTAGCATGAAATAACCGTCAGGCATTCTGACTACCTTACCAGTGTGGTGTCTTGGGAATTCCAACAATTGTAAGTCAATGTAAGCGCTAGTCTACAACTCAAGATATTGCTCATGTGAAACCATCTTGGTGGTGAAAAAGTCAGTATATAAACGCCGGCTTTGATGGTATACGTATAAAATCGCCGTCGCTTTCCAGCGATCAAGTGATCCTGAGTGGATTTTGAGAAATATCTCTCGCTTAGACAGCTGACCTCACTTGCAAAATAATGGCGATGACAAACGTAACTGGAGGTGGAAAGCACACTGAATCATTTGTACAACAGCTTTGCTCTGTCAGTTTGACGGACGGAATACACGACCAGTTGATATCTATCTCAGTGTTGGATATTTTCCTTTCCATCACTGCCTTCCTTGGTAATACTCTGATCCTAGTCGCCCTTCGCAAGGAGTCTTCCCTTCATCCGCCGTCCAAACTCCTATTTAGTTGTCTGGCAACAACCGATCTCTGTGTCGGTATTATTGCAGAGCCTCTTAAAGTTTGCTATTTTATGGCTCTCGCTCAGAAAAAATGGAATCTTTGTCGCTACGTCTTAGGCACCTTTTCCGTAACCGGCTATACTTTGTCTGGAGTCTCTTTGTTAACCATGACTGCAATAAGCGTGGACAGACTTCTCGCCCTGTTGTTGGGACTGAGGTACAGACGAGTTGTAGCTTTAAAGCGTACATATGTTGTTGTAGTTATGTTTTGGATTGTGAGCATTCTCGGTGCAACATCGTTCTTAAAAAATCACCTGATCACCTTCTGGTATGGCTGTGTAATTACATTGTTGTGTGTAGTAACGTCGATCTTCTCGTACACAAAGATTTTCCTCACACTTCGTCGTCACCAAACGCAAGTACAACACCACACTCAACAACCTAGCCAAGGAGTTCCACTGAACTCAGCGCGATACAGAAAGGCAGTGTCCAGTGCGCTGTGGGTGCAGTTGGCATTAGCGGTCTGTTATCTACCATACAGCATATTAGCAGCATTGTTCAGTTATAGAAGACTATCTTCTTCCGATCTTGTCCTCTGGGGATTTGCGACCACTCTAGTTTTCTTTAACTCTTCGTTAAACCCGTTTCTTTATTGTTGGAAGATTGCTGAAGTGAAACGAGCAGTAAAGACGACAATTAGAGAAGCAATTTGCTGTCTGTGGAGTTAGGTGATTGTCGTGTTGCACGACCGTGTTTTTCCTCTCAGAGTAAATCTAAAACATCGTCGTCGTCGTCGTCGTCGTCGTCGTCATAATCATCATCATTAGTCCTGGCTCTCCTCTGGGAGAATAGGACCATAATCTAAATCAATAAGTTTGGAATATTTTCTTTAATTCTGATGATGTGTGGAGTTCAACTAGACTTCTATTTCATCAGGAGTTCCTTTCTTTCCGTATAATTTTTGTTTCTTAAAGTTGTTCCTGTACATTACCCAGTGTTGTTCCCTGTATGTTGGAAAGCGTGAGTTTCTGTTAAGTGTTGAGTAGTTTAGTATTTAAAAAATAATAAAAAAAAAAGTATTAAACGACACGCTTTCAATTGAAATGTTCTAGAACTCTGTAAAAAGCTGTGGACATGTTTTCGTTATCAGTAACAGCTTTAGTCTTTGTTTTGCCGAGTTATTAAACACTATGACTGTATTCTCTTTGTCATGTAAATAAGGTTAAGGTAAATACGGGTCCATGTTATCGGAACAAAGTAGTATGATTTTTATCAGGCGTCAATCGATAAGCATTCCGTTATGAAATATCTCGTGGTTGTTTTATAATTGTGGCGAAATTTATGTCTGAAGCAAAACGTAATACTACATGCTAAGAAGGCAGCAATAAGAAATAAACAGTTTATAAAGAAACTGCTTTTGTCATCAGATGACATCTCCCAAGTGACATCCAGTTTTCAAAATTTGCGCTCGATGCTCGCACGTCGGTTTTAATCTCAACTAAATTGTTAAACTGAGTATTACACTTTTTAGTTTTAACAACCAGTGATGTTGTGAATGCCTACAGAATGTCATGGCTCCTTAGAAGAGGTCTCACAAAAAGTGCCCTTGTTTAAAAATATATGAAAGATAATAAACACAACAAGCACCGTTTGGCGCGAAAATATGCACGGATATTTGTCCGTGACATTCTAAACGTGTTCCTCAAAGCTCACAGTCTTCCTCCATCTTCATTATGTGAAAACTGGTAGTTTCTCGGAACAGATGGCGCCCGCAGACAAGTATCCAAGAATATTTGTGACCTATCGCGCGAAAACATGCATAAAAGGATATCCGTTAAACTGTCAAAACGAACGGTAAACTAACGGATGGGAAACGGATGCTCAAGCCGTTTAAATCGACTTCAATTACCGTTCGAACGGCCCAAGAAATAATTTCGAACGGTGGTTGCTGTAAACGTTCGAACGGCACAGGATATTGTTCGAACGGATAGTGTCTGCCATTCGAATAGCTATAGAAAAATTTTGAGCGGATCTTATGCAAGCCGTTCTGACGGCTTGAGGTGGCCGAACGCAGTTTTCGATTTCTGTGTTTCATATACCTTTTACCCTAAAACCCTTGATCCTTGGTCACCAAAAATGGCAACAGCAAGTTAACAACGCAACCTTCGGGTTTTTGATAGTTAAGCTGACATATGTGCCGTTGCCATGCAACATAAATAAATATAAACAAGGCTTCTTCTTTATTTGCAGAAAATCCAGTCATAGTAGTTAATAACAAAGAGATTTTTAATTATCCCTTGTTGAAGGACAACTGAAATATCTTGAATTTCCTCAGTTAAATTTCAAAAGTTTTTCAATACTCCAGTTACTTATTTCCTGAAATGTTTTCGTGCCAAATTTCGTGAAATTCTTATGAGTGGTTCTGGAGAAATGAGCTTATTTCCTAGAAAGCCATTCCGCATTCAATCGTGATTGTTTTACTTACTACGCATGCGCTGCATTTAACTGGGTTCTTTCGGTAACAGAAAAATCTGCGAATTGCTGGGTTCTTTGAATCGTTACGTTTTATAACAAACCTTTCTGATAAGAGACTAAAACCATAAATACACTGTGATCAGTTCTGAAGAAAAATAGCACACATAGCTCGAGCATTGTGCAAATAAAATGATCGCTGTATAGACGCCATGTTTGTTTGTTTTTTTTTTATTGTCCTTTTGCGCGCGCTGAATTGTATTTTGTAAGAAAAATGGAGGTTATTGTTTCCTGCAGCCTAGCCTGCAGTGGCGCTCGCCTGTCAACATTCGCTGTTACCCTCTGACGTCATAGATTGTACATCAATAAAATAGCAAGGATCAAAATCTTATCGCGCATGAATATAGAACAAATAAAACAGAACGTGACCGCTTGAGGCGTGCTAGATCGCTATCGGCGAATCTTACGCTCGTTATTTATTTCTGTTTCTATGATATGGGTTACATCTTGCAACTTTTAAACATAACGGATCTAAAAACTTACCTTTCGAATTGTAAATGGGATTCTGATTAAACAACACTTTAAACGAGCTGCATTGCAACTTACTATAACAGCCCTTAGCTTGTCCGTCTTTTTGCGCCATATTTCGTTAGGATTATTTAAACAAATCAGCATTCTCGTATGAATAAGCCAATTAACGGGGGCGTTATTTCAGCCTTTGCCATGATTTTTCCTCGCACGCCATTGGGAAAAGTGGAGAAGACCTTGGGAACGAGGTTGACTTTGTATCGAAACGAATTGTATTGAAACTATCTACAACTAAGGTGAATTAATACGCTTACGCTGTGAAAACGTCAGTCAAACGGCAAAAAGTTGTGAAATCACGCCAGTTCTCAAGCTGAAAGTAAAACTCGACACAATTCCGTTATCGCTTGCACCGAACGGCCGTCAGCTATTCCACCAAACAAGTGAAACATTTTGAGAATTCCAACATTAGTAAGTGAAGTATCTACAGCGCAAACATACACATATGGAACCATCTGTCAGATAGCTCTGAATTGGAAACCATCTTGATAGCATTTAATTCAGTGCATAAAAGGCGGTTCCGATAGTGTAATATAGAATCGCCGTCGCTTTCGAGTGATCAAATGATCCTGAGTGGATTTTGAGAAACATCTTTCACTTAAACAGCTAATCTCACTTGCGGAACAAATGGCGACGGCAAACGTAACTGGAGGTGGAAAGCAGACGGAATCATTTTCACAACAACTTTGCTCTGTCAGTTTGACGGACGGAATACATGGAGAGTTGTTATTTATTGCAGCGTTGGACATTATTCTATCAGTCACAGCCTTTCTTGGGAATACTCTGATTCTAATTGCTCTTCGCAAAGAGTCTTCCCTTCATCCTCCATCCAAAGTCTTGTTTAAGTGTCTGGCAACAACTGATCTCTGCGTTGGCCTTATAGTACAGCCTATCCATATTTCCTATTTGATATCCCGAGTTCAGGAGAAATGGGATTTGTGTCCTTACGCAGTTGCCTCCCATTTTGTAGCCTGCTATACTCTATCTGGAGTCTCGTTGTTAACAGTGACTGCAATAAGCGTGGACAGACTTCTCGCTCTGTTCTTGGAGCTGAGGTACAGACAGGTTGTAACTTTAAAGCGAACATATGTTATTGTAGTTGTGTTTTGGGTTGTGAGCATTCTCGGTGCGACATCGTACCTCATTAATGATCATATCACTTTCTGGTATGGCTGGATAGTCATTTCGCTGTGTGTAGTGATCTCGATCTCCGCTTACACAAAGATTTTCCTCACACTCCGTCGTCGCCAAACGCAGTTACAAGACCACACTCAACAACCAAGCCAAGGAATTCCACTGAACTTATCGCGATACAGAAAGGCAGTGTTCAGTGCACTATGGGTGCAGTTAGCATTAGTTGTTTGTTATCTACCATATTGCATAGTTTCAGCCTGTTTCCGATACGACAGACAATCTGTATCCTATTTTCTCGCTTGGGAATTAACAATCACTCTAGCCTACTTGAATTCGTCGCTAAATCCTTTTCTTTATTGCTGGAAGATCAGTGACGTAAAACAAGCAGTGAAGATGACAATCAGAGAAATGCTGTCCTGTTCATAGGGTTAGTTCACAAAATTGAGATATTTTGTGAGAGATACTTCATGGAGATCAAACTCGCAGTTCACTTTTACTCATATTCGGGTTGAAGATTTAAAATATTGCCTTGTAGTACGTGCTTAAAAAAGAAAAAAAAAAACAGAAACATTTTTATTCGAAAACTGTTATGTGTTATTTGATTATTTCACAGCGTATCTTATCAATACCCTAGTCTGTGGTAAATATTACAGCATCCATATCTCAAGCAAAACTCCTAACAATTGTGTGCTATGTTTTCTTTACAAGAAGACTGGAATGATACTGCTTCCTTATTACTTTCAATCCTCTGATATCGTGATATTAATACCTCGGTAGTAAATGTTAAATAAAAAGCCTGAAAAAGAACATATTTTGTCATTCAGTATGAGTAGCCTTCTAAAAAATTTATAAGGCGAATTTTGGTTCCGTAGGAAACCGTGATACTAATGCCTCGGTGGTTATTATAATTATTATTATTATTAAATGAGAAATACACAGCCCGAAAAACAACTTCTTTCGTCATAAAATATGAATATGAATATCCTTCTGAAAAATTTATGTCACCTGTTGTAATCCATCAGTCACGAATATTTTATCTGGCGTGCGATTAGTCTAACTGAAACAGGTGACGCGATGCAGCCGAAACGGAAGAATATCACATGTTATTAAAACTGGATCATTGGGTAATGCATTTCGAGAGTTTTCATTGGCTTAGCCATCATGGGGTATGAGCCATTATACCATGTTCTGTACACGTGATTTCTTGGGGCTTTTTAGTTTTATTTTAGTTTTCTATATTGTTGGGGCGTTTTTGATAAAATCATTATTCCACTCGCGCTTGTTGGATATGAGAAGAGTAAAGCCAGCTTGGGGCTACGCGCCTCTTTGGTTATCTACTATCTCATGTCCAACACGCGCCCGTGGAATAATTGTTAAAGATCTTCATATGATATCCCCCAAATTTAATGGTACTGAGTATTTCAACGAACTTACAATATTTTTGAACTCCAACAACAGCTTAGGCTGAAAAGAGGTCTCCCCAAAAAGTGACCTTATGTATGAAGAAAATGCAATGTTGCCCACTTCCACTTACCACTGCCCACTTGGCTGGAAACAGTCCCATTGTTAGGTGTCTTGTGGTGTCTTGTGTTAGGTAGCCAATGAGAGCGCGCGCTTTTGAGGGAAATTTCCAGTTATATAACAAAAATTCTTAACGTCTTAACAGGGTCACAACCAACACACTGGAAATTATCACGTGACAGCTAACCACTTCCATCTTTGTTCACAGCTTTGTCCACAGTCTCTCAGTCTTTATTATTGAAACACGGGTACACATTCCTTAATGCTACTGAGGTTACGGCTTCAACCAGATTGTGCTGCCGGAGGCCCGATGGGATTGAAAAACTCGCTCAAATCGCGGGTTAACAGAACATCCAGGTCATTCATGAACGTATTAGGGAGTTTAAGAAGCTGCGACGGCGTCGCCCGGGACAATGTCGATTTGTTTTTTACCACAATATCAACATCAAAGAAAATGTTTTTTTTTTTTTTTTTTCAGAGCGCGAGCTGAAAAAGGCATTGCGTGACACATTGACGCGAGCATCGTTGTCTGGACTTTTATCGACAACGGCAAATTAGCTAATTAGATTGGGAGATTAGCAGCAATTGTGGTAAAATAAGTAATAGCTTTATATTTTACCTACGAATCTCACGATGCTCTAAAGTCAGTTACTCAGTTTCTCTTTGTCAAAACTATCTTGAAACTGGTTATGGAACACAGCATTAAATTCGAAGTATAAATTTAAAAATTATCCGTTGTGGTTCAAGTTTTCCACACAACGCAGAATTTGGTCATTTTTCGTTGTTGTTTTACAGAGGACGTACATCAACAAAGTCCCCCAATAAAATATCCAGTTTCCCAATCTAAAGTATTTTTATTATTATTTTACAGAAAAAAATACGTAAACTGCACGACGCAAAGACAAGACATCTTGAATCACTTCTCTACTCAACAAGGTGATATCATATTATTCCTGTTGAAAGTACAAGTAACATATCTTATGCTTTCACGTTAACGAGAGGAAAAGCACACAGCTTAATCACAGCGTTTTCTAGGACTTTGCCCTGGAAAGTGTATGACGCATCCACACACATGTAGTTGATCTCTCGCTTTCGAGCGAAATGTGTTTTGTTGGATCCGATGAATTATCAGCCCCCTTTTATATGACAACGAGTCGGTTATCATTTATTAAGGAACCTTACAGCAGTAAGCGGAGATGTTGCAGAAGGAGTAGAAGAGCTCTACATGTTTCACTTCTAGTTGATGTTGCGTCAAGTTAAATGTGGCGGATCCAGACCTTGAGCTGGGCGGCGGGGGGTGCCTGCCTTGCCGACTTTTCTTCCTTCCTTTCTTTGTTTGTTTGTTTGTTGTTGTTTTTTTCACCCAAATTAAAGGGGGACGATCCCCCCGGGCCCCTCCCCTAGATCCACCACTGGTTAACAGAGCTTGATTCTAGTATTTGAATCATGTCCGTTGAACTGAAAGCTTTTATTTGGTGTCCTTTACAGAGATGAACTTGAAGACTACCAAAGACAAGTGTCAGAGCTGCAGGCAAAATTAAGGCGAGTGTTTAAAGCTGGATTTTTAACTTTAAGCTACGTAATCGCTAAATCTCGTATCGGTCGACTTGTCGAAATAGTTGAGTGATTCAGGTTTCCAGTTTTGCGTCACTGTGCATTGTTTT